TTTAGATATATTTTTAAGTATAGTTTTAATTGTTTGGCCTCACATACTTATTTGATGAACTTTTAATTTCCTACAAATATAAATGATATGACTGAAAACTTATTCTCTATGAAAACTAAATATTATTCGAAATCARTTTAAAATAGTGATAAGCGATCATATGATATAAATGCTRGTAAAAARTTATATGAAGAGAATAAGTGCGATGTGAGTATAAAACCACCCGCAAATACTAACCGAACACTACATATACGAGGTAGATTTCACTGTACCCTAGCTGAATCGAACCATATAGGTTTGTTTGGTTTGTTAGGGTTAAGGCTTTGGGTTAAGGCTCCCCACACTTAGGGTTTAGTTTCTTTTGATTTGCAAAAAAAAAAAAAAAATCTTTTGATATATTTTTAGTACAGTTTTAATTGTTTGGCTTCACATATTTATTTGATGAACTTTTAATTTCCTATAAATATAAAAAATATGACTGAAAACTTATTTTCTATGAAAACTAAATATTATTCGAAATCAATTTAACATAGTGATAAGCGATCATATGATATAAACGCTGGTGAGTTAAATGAGGAGGATAAGTGCGACGTGAGTATAAAATCATCCGCCAAAACTAACCGAACACTACATATACGAGATAAATTTCACTGTAGCTTAGCTTATACGAACCATAATTTGTTTGGTTTGTTAGGGTTAAGGATTCATTAAGATTAAAACTCCCCACACTTAGGGTTTAGTTTCTTTCAATTTGAAAAACAAAAAATGATCTTTAGATATATTTTTTTTAGTATAGTTTCAATTTTATAGCCTCGCATATTTATTTGATGAATTTTTAATTTCCTACAAAAATAATTGGCATATGTATAAATTATACAAAATAAATTAATGTTATTTGTTTTATTTTGGTATAAATGTTAAATGTAGACATATATACAATCAAAATTTAGTAATTTATATAAAATTTATTAATTTATATAAAATAAAAACCTAGAATGCTGAGCAGAGTCCTTCAATATCTTTTTCTTGGTTTATTAGATGATGACAAAGAATATATCGAAGCTATTAAAGAAGTGAGCTGGTGGGCTGGTGGAAAGCAGTTGCGTAGACTATTTGCTACACTTTATGGTTTATTTTACCATTCAAATAACATCGGTTTATTTATGTTTTATTTGATAGAATTTAATTATATTAATGGATATCTTTTTAAGAAATATGTATGATGATTCATAGTTTACGCTATTAAATGGTAATTATTTCGTGTAATTTATACAACGATTTTCCGTGCGTTGCACGGATACTGTCCTAGTTTAAAGAGTATCTTCAGTTAGGGATTGGCAAAATTTTCAAACCAAACTAATTTTTTGAATTTGAATCGAAATTTCCGATCCAAAACCAACGGAATTATAAATTAATTCGAATAAAATACAAATTAATAAACGAAATTATTTGATTCTGAATCGAATTAACCAAACTAATCGAAATTCATATTTTGATC